GTAATGCAATTGTTACTTTTACTAATACTTTTATTGTGAAGTAACTCAGTTACTAACTCAGTTACTTTTTGGGAGAATAACTAGTAACTATAACTAATTACTTTTTCAAAGTAACGTGCCCAACACTGGATATATATATATATATTTTTTTTAATACATATTTTTTTCTACTTTATTAAAGGAAATATATCTGACCTTTTTTTATTTCATGCTTTTTAAATAATTTATTTTAGTAAAAGAACCAAACGACAATTGTGAAATTGAGTTAGTCCAGTTACTGAATGTTATCGGCGCCACCATTTTTGTTTGCATAATTCCCGCCTTGAGAGCTGTAGTATCTTGGAAAACTGATAAGAGGAAAGGAACCGCGCTAGTGTGATGTGTAAATGGTCCTGTTTGGCTGTGACTCCATCCTGGAGAGAAATATCAGCTGTGCTGCTGCCATCAACTCGGCTTGTTTTTTAGTGTGGTTGTGAAGTTTGAAAAAAAAAAAAAAATGTAACAGAATTTATGGGTAAAAAATTGTTGTGACGGGGCTTATAATTCATCCTTTTCAGGAACAAGTATGGTTCTTTTAAAAATGCTGCATTTTTCACACAACTCCTCTTTTCTTTATGAGTTTTTCTGCTCATTTGTCATCAGATAAAGGGCGCTGTGCTCTCTGACACGGATTTTGCCAAGTCACACTGAAAATCTGAGAGCAGTTTCTATTGTTATGTAAGCCTCATAAAAGTAAACACACAAAGGGATGGAGGAGAACAATACAGGAGCCCTGCAGGCATGTTATCCGACTGGTTCCCAAGAATGGCTCTTAAGCACGGTCCATTACCTCCACCAGGCAGTCGCCAACCAGAGCTATAAGGAGCTTCTTGCCCCTCCTTTCCCGGACCAGCGATGCGTTCTCGGCGCGCTGCATGCAGGTGAAGTCAAACATGGCCACATCAGGCTGACCGGCCTGATTGAGAGCAAACTGCAGATCGGGCAGCTTCCCACCGGTGGAGAAGTACGCCGCATCATGAGCATACAGACACAAGGCAACGTGATCTACGTTTGCAGGCGCCAGAAGCTGTGCTGCATCAATGTAGTCCTGAAGACAGAAAGACAAAGATAGAATCTGAATGTTCATAACGTGGAGAGTAGCATTCTTTAAACTTGGTTTACTGTATCTGTTCTGGGGCGTGGTGCAGTTAGGTCTGATTAAAGCTACTCTTCACACAGAAGTCACATTTATTCGATTTGAGTCTTTTCTCTTGAGGCGTGAGCCAAGAAGAAAGTTTTTCATGATAACAGATGGGTTTCCCCTCACCTGTTTAATCACTCCCCGTCTCAGCAGGCTCTTCTTCTTGGCTGTCATGACAAAGTAATGCGTGTCGTCTTTGTAGTACACAATATTCTCTAAATCAATATCTGGAACAGAGAATGCAGAGAGCAAGAAAAACGTGTTTAGAGGAACTAAACGCCGGAGAAGAAGCAGAGAATCAGGAAGATTTACAGTTTTTCCAATTTTACTGGATTGTTTATTTACACTAGTGCACTGGTTTGACTAGTTCTAGACAGGAGAGCTTGTAGCAGCGTGTACTGAGAATTTAAAGTCGATTTGTTGGCTGTGATCTAAGGAGGAAAAGAACTATAAAATGTCACAGGTTTAAAAACTATGAGCTGGTCTAATCCCCCGTCATCTCTAGCTTATGGGTCCAAACTGTGACAGATAAACATGATTTAGCATCCCAAAAAAGGTTGAAAAACAATCCACTGGACTTTGTTTCCAAGTTAAAAGAAGTTTCGCTTCGCATCCAGGAAGCTTTTTCAATTCAAATGTCAGAAATAGCGTAGAGTTCAAGGTTTTACACAATAGCCCAACAAAGCCTTGTTTTTGCAAAGCTTTGTTGCAAAAACAAGGCTTTGTTGGGAGAACAATATCAGCCGTGCTGCTGCCATCAACGCCTTTGTTTATAGATGTTGGAGCTTGGCCTGTTTTTCAGTGTAGTCCTGTTTCTCTAACTGGATGTGCTCTCTTCATCCTCTGGCATGGGAGCTGGCTCAGTGCTCGTCTGCCTGGCTGTGTGTTTCCTGGACTGGGCCGCCTGTGGAGCTGGTTGACAGTTGCCTTTTGTATCTATGCTTCTTTTTCTATGTCTGCTTCTGTCTCCTTGAACCCCAGTGGGCCTCAGCAGATGGCCGCTCACACTGAGCCTGGTTCACAGGGAGTTTTTCCTCTCCACTGTCGCTACAAGCATGCTTAGTGTGAGGGATTGCTGAAGAGTCAA